AGGGGCCTCTGGGTTTGCTAGGCTCATGGATATTGGCGACGGCGACGGCGATGTGGTTAACGGAGCTTCCAATAAGGCAGAGGTTGCCATCGCATCGGCTTGGTCAAGCGTTCTGAAGATCGAGCAACCAGTCATCAAACGATCGCACTCATTCACAGACTTGGGTGGATCATCCATTGAAGCTATCAAGGCTGTCTCTGAGCTGCGCAAAGCTGGCTTCTCGGTCGAGCTGAGTGGGCTCCTTGAGGGAGCATCCCTTCAAATTGTGGCATCTCAGTCACAGGCATTCAGTGCCGAGACCCAGGAAAAGCCCGAACCATTCTCCCTCATTGCCGACCTGGGTCTTGCTTCCAACTTACAACGTGACGTCAACATCGTTGACGCTTATCCTGCCACGCCATTCCAGGAGACTATGTTGTCAACTTTGAACACGCCATCCGACCCATATACTTACTCACGGGCTTGGGACGTTGCCGCGGTCGACCTTCAGAAGTTAAGAGCGAGTTTTGATCAAGTCTTCCGTTCTCGGGACATCCTTCGGACGGTATTTCTTCCACACAAACGATCCTTCCTACAGACTATCCGCCATGATCTCTCACTCCCTTGGCATGAGTCTTCGGAGCTATTAGAGTCCTTCAATATGAAGGCCAAGTCTCGCCAGTGGGAATTAGATGCCCCTCTATGGAATGCCACAGTACTTTCTGGCCACGTCCTAGTGGTCACAATGCATCACTCGCTCTTCGACTACTGGTCTCACAAGTTTCTTTATGAAGATGTGGCAACAGTCTACCTGGGTAAATTCGCTCCGGTTCGGCCAGCCTTTAGCAACTTTGTCAAGCATTTGCACTCCCAAGACAGCGCCACCAGCCAAAGATTCTGGTCTGAATATCTTGAGGGATCGCAGAGCACGAAGCTAAATCACTCCCCAGGCAAGGAGACCAGCAAGGTCGAAGTTGAACTTGGTTTCAGCGTTAGCCAGCGATCTCGACAGCTCGGTTCCACGCTTGGTGCGGTTGTCTATGGTGCCTGGGCTATCTTGCTTTCCCACCACCTAAGGAGCGACGATGTCACATTTGCAACTACCGTCTCTGGAAGGGAGGTTCCTGTAGTTGACATAAGTGAGATCGACGGTCCGACCATGACCTCGGTGCCACAACGCATCAAAGCAGATCCCGACTCCACCATCAGAGATTACTTGAAGATGACTTTGTCAGGATTCGCGCAGCTCCTCAGACATTCACAACTTGGCGTTGTTGGCGCTTTGCGTGCTGGGAACCTTCCCAACCAGGCCTTTGACACACTCGTCAACATTCTCGTCAGCCAGAGCGATGCGGGAGGTGTTTCTAAGCAAAACGCCGAAGAAGTCTTCCGTGTACATGGTCGTCGACCTCAATGGGCGTCTGGATCTGATACCACTGTTCTTGAAATAGAGGAAGCGACTGCTACAACCGTCATTCGTTTGGCCAGCACAATGGAACCTCGCAGGCTTCACTTCATTAAAGACTCGTTTATTCACATCATCGATGTCTTGCTGAGTCAACCAGACATGAAGCTCGCGTCGCTCTCAGTCATGGATGACGCAGAGACTGACTATGTCTCCAACACCCTATCCAACCGCACAGGTCTTCGAGTCCCTGAGGCAGAACTTCTTCATAGTGCATTCGAGAGGGTCGCTACCAGCACTCCGGACACTATTGCCGTTGACCTTGACGGGAAAGAGATCGTGTCGTATGCATTGCTGGACAAGCTCTCGAATCGATTCGCTCACACTCTCATTGCTCATGGCGTCTCTTCCGGAGACCTGGTGCCCCTGATGCTTGAGAAGTCAGTCGACATGATGGTTGCCATTCTAGGCGTCATGAAGGCGGGAGGAGCGTATGTCCCTCTGAGTCCAGATAACCCGAACGAAAGGAACGGCTTTGTGGTTTCCGATACACGGGCCAAGCTCCTCGTGGCCCATCCGCAGCATGCTGAATTCGGAGCCTACGTCAAGCAACTCTACGGCATTGAGTCACTGGTCATGCCAAGTCACGAAACGCTTAGCACCGTCTCGAGCGATGGATCCGATGCCAACATTGCGCCGATAACACGCACGACACCCGACAATATTGCTTACATGATCTACACATCTGGCAGCACTGGTATGCCCAAAGGTGTCATGGTACCTCACCGAGCGGCCGCGGCTGCAGTCACCAGTATGGCACAAGTGGAAGGCCGGTTTGAGGGCACCTGGCGGACTCTGCAGTTCGCCAACTACGTCTTCGACGCATCCGTTCAAGACTTCTTCAACACACTCAGCACTGGTGGAACACTCTGTATGGCGCCCACCGAAACTTTACTTTCCGACATTACTGGATGCATCAACCGAATGGATGTCAGGCAGGCAATCATCACGCCAACGGTCGCGAAGCTCTTCAGTCCAGAAGATGTGCCAGGCTTCGAGACTCTAATAGTGGGTGGTGAACCTCTGACGCCAGATGTTGTTGAGATTTGGAGCCCTCACTGCAAAATCTTGAACGTTTACGGTCCAACAGAGACATCCATGGTGGTGACGACCAAGAGCATCGAGCCGTCATCAGATATTACCACTCATCGCATTGGCAACATTGGAGCTCCTTTCTCAACTGTCATGGCTTTCATCCTTAGCCCAGACGGTGAGGGTTTGGTCCCGTACGGCGCTGTTGGCGAGCTGTGCATCGCAGGGCCACAAGTGACCGACGGCTACATGAACAGGCTAGACTTAACAGAGGCCGCCTACGTCGAAAGCAACTCCCTTGGTGCGCGCATCTATCGTACAGGAGATCTAGCGCGCTGGCTTCCAGAGGGTGAGATCGAGTGTCTCGGAAGAAAAGACAATCAGGTCAAGGTCCATGGCCATCGCATCGAACTTGGAGAGGTCGAAAACTCCATCCGCCGTTCCGGACTCGTCAAGGATACAGTGGCATTGGCTGCTACCATCCAAGGCAAGACTCATCTTATCGCATTCTGCATATTTGACGAAGCTTCTGCAGCCGTTGGCCCAACTGGTGTTCAAGATCCGTCAACTTTCCGAGGCTCTCTTGCTGAACTGCGCGAGAATCTTGATTCACTGGCGACGTACATGGTTCCGAAGTTCGTTGTTCCCATGAACGCTTTCCCCAAGCTGCCCTCGCGCAAAGTCGACCGCAAGGCACTGAAAATGCTAGCTAACGAGCTCGACCGGGAGTATTTGGCGCAGTCCGTGCTAGAGACTCCTGGCGAAAATCACCAAGTTATCCCAGTCGAGACACCATCAGAAGAGATCCTCGAGCTCGTCTGGGCTGAGATCTTCAGCATCCCTCAGAGTGAGATCGGACGTGAAGCGAACTTCTTTACGCTTGGGGGTGATTCGATTTCCGCCATCAGCCTCACGGGTCAGTTGCGAAGACTAGGCTACTCGCTAACGGTGCTTGATATCCTCAAGACCCCCAAGTTGAAGGATATGGCCTCCACTCTGCGCAAGAAAGAAGCACGCGGTGAGGTGGTTGAGCGCTCCTTCGAGATCCCTCCGTCAATCAAGGTAGCTGCCCAGGAAGTTGGGATAGCATGGGATACAGATGTCGATCATGGTAAGCTTCCTTTTGCACAATTTCCAGTCAGGCGGCCAGCTTACGACTATTCCAGTGTACCCATGCCCTCCCGGTCAAGCCGAGTTCCTCAAACAGGGCAGCCGAGAGTCGCAAATGTGGGCGCTGCAGACTGTCCGACGCATGACGGCGGACGTCGACCCGGATACGTGGATTGAAGCAACGACTCGACTTACTAAACTCGACGAAATCCTGCGGACGACTTGGATTGATATACCCGAAGCTGGCTGGGTCGGAGTTGTACTTCATGGCTCCGAGCTAAATGTTACCAAGGTGACCTTGGACTCCGAGTCAGAGTCCTCGAGCTTCATTGAAGAGTTTTGGCAGACTCGTTTTGAATTTGGTCGTCCCTTCATCAAATACGCTGTCATAACCCATAGCGATGCATCTTGGGATCTTGTCATCAAGATGGATCACGCTGTTTACGACGGCACTTTGCTTCGCGTATTTGATGACCACTTTGGCGCCATTCTTCGGGGCGAAAGCGTACCGCCACCAGTAGAGTTCCGCGACTTCTCTCAGCATGTCTTTGCAGAAGACAAGACAGCCAGCCTTGGTTACTGGAAAGCAAAGATGGATGGGCTAGGGCCTTTTGATCAGCAGCTGCATGGCCGAGATCTTGCTACGGCCCCATCACCAAAAATCACTGCCAGCTTGCGAAGAGATATTGTGACGACAGACATCGACCAAGCAGCTTCTCGCCTTGGAGTCACTCCGAGCATCATCTTCCAAGGAGCGTTCTCCCTTTGGCTTGCTGCAGCGACCGAGGCTACGGATATTCGCTTTGACTATTTGCTGAGCGGTCGCAACGTAGCGCTGCCGGATCCTCAGTCAATCAACGGAACACTGGCCAACTTCTTGCCATTCCGAACGCCCGTTGGTCCGAAGGAGTTGGTGCACGACTTCCTTGCCAAGTTACAAGACGACTTTTGGGATGTAACCGAGAACGGCCTCGTTGGCCTTGACGATATTTACGGTGTCGCTGGCCTATCTCGCGAGACACACGGTAACCGAATCTTGTTCCTCTCTCAACCATTTGAGCCGGCAGCCAAGGATGATCCGAATGGCCGCTACCGATGGCTTGTCATGGCGAAGTCGAAGGTGCGCATGTACCAGCCATACGCGCTGGTCGTCGAAGTGTCCAAGTCGCTGGGTGATCGTCACATACTGAAGGTCATGTATGACGACACCATCTTGGATCCGTCGGTGGCGGAAAATATTGCGGATGGTATCGTTGCCTTGGTCGAGGTCCTGACTGATGCCACCAACGCGAATCTGGCACTTGAAGCGTTGTGACTAGGACCGAGGTCTTGCTGTAGGACGACAGAGGCTTTGCTTAGTACAGAATAAATGATCTCTGCCCAATTTTAGCTCCAATTCCATACAACTCGGGGGATGATATTCTCGCAAGCTGTGATCATTGAGACCAATATCGCTGGACGACGCGTGAAGAGACGGTGTGTGGTCGTGGTTGAAGCCTTGGCGCTCACTTCGGCAATTACCTCCGGAAATCAAGACATGATATTTCTTGGCAAAAAGAAATGCCAACTGGCCCAAGTGGCCAAGACATCGACCAAGTTGACTGAAGCTTTGGGGCGTTGGGACCACGGACAGGAGTCCTTTCTTGGCCAACCCTCCACAGTTCCTCCACAATCCTCTATCCACATCACGACGCGGGGGGGAACTGACAAGGGAGCAAAATTTCCAACAAAGAGATGGATCACTGGGGGAGATTGCGGCTTTGTGCGGGGGAATCTCGACTAACGACGCAAGTCGAATCCATCCGATTGTTGGCTAGTTTTCTCCGTTGACCACGGTCTAGAAATTCCATCAATCAGTTGCTCGCGTAGACCAGACGGCGCAGTCGACCCTGGAAACCGACATGCAGGCAACCTGCACAATCTCCGAATCCACCTCAGCTAAAGCTCGTTGGCTCGCATCTTCCCCAACTTCTCCCCCTCGTCGCGATGGGGTTCGAGGCTGGTCAACCCTTCAAACCCCATGGGCGCACGGCTGGGGGAGCCTGGAGAGCCTGGGGCTACTGCGAGGCCGGCGAGAGACCCGGTGCGGCGGCCTGCTGATTACGCGGATGGACTGATGCGGGAGTACCAGGACGCTGAACGAGAGGAGAAACGAGGGCTTGATAGGTGGAATGGGTTGTGTTGTTTCTCCTTCCCGCAGTGCGTCCTGGTTATTTCCAGATGGCTGGGCGTAGCGAGACTAGCTTGCTATCGCCCCAACTAGCTGCTTATTCTACCCCTGCCATGTTACCCCGACTTTGGAGAGACGTCGAATATTTTCATAGCCGAAGAGCTGTTGATAGTCATGATGATCACTTAGGGTGTAGAGCAATTGGGAAAGAAATGTGACTTGGCGATGCAGGTCCATTGCCAAGCGGAACGAGTATATGAAGACGCTCGCGCTCTGGGAGTTGTTCTGGATGGCTGATCACCTCCCCCGAGCAGCCTCCTTACTTGGCAACTCACTTGGCAATCCCACTCAACCTCGTGTGTGTGTTTCCCTCTCACCACTCAATCCCACACGTAGCCATGAGAGTCTCTTCCATCTACGCCGTCCTGGCGGCTGCCAGCAGCGCCCTTGCCTACTCGGCCGAGTTGATTCCGGCCGGCGTCCCTCGCAACGTGGACGAGTTCCGCGTTAAGCACCCTTACCAGAAGCGATCCAGGGGCTGCCGCAACACCTACACTCTGCGCGCCTCGGAGAACGACCTGGATGATGTCTCTGACGAGTTTGTCGAGGGCCTGAAGCTGGCCAACAACGGCGGCACTCTGCACCTCCCCGCAAACCAGACATTCATCATTGGCAAGCCGCTCGATCTGACGTGGCTCAATGATATCCACGTCCACTGGGAGGGTGAGATCAAGTTCACCAACGACACCCCGTACTGGCAGGCCAATGCCTTCCACCATCCGTTCCAGAACTCCATCATGTTCTGGAAGTGGGGAGGCAAGGACGTCAAGCTGTACGGCCAGGGTGTTTTGAACGGTAACGGCCAGAGATGGTGGAACGAATTTGCCGGTCTTGAGTAAGCTTTCGACAGATCCTTGACTTGCTTTAAGCTTATCTCTAACAAACTTTTAGGATTCTGGACCCCACAAACGCCTACCTCCGGCCTATCCTGTTTTATGCGGAGAACGCGACGGGATTGTCCATTGAGGGCATCCACTTCAAGGACTCTCCTTGCTGGACTACCTTCATCGTGACTTGTAAGTGGTGCCGCCATTATTGCTGCAAGATGCCCAGCGCTAACAGAAGTTTAGCCAAGGACATCTCCTTCACCGACGTCATTGTCACCGCCGAGACCAACAACCACACTGCCGAGCCCAAGAACACCGACTTCTTCGACTCTCTGAACGTTGAAGATGTCCGCGTCAAGCGCGCCTGGGTGAACATTGGTGACGACTGCTTCTCCCCCAAGTCCAACGCCACCAACGTCCACGTCGACACCATGTACTGCAACGGCACCCACGGACAGTCCATCGGATCTCTTGGTCAGTACGCCGGCGAGAAGAGCTTCGTCAAGGACGTCGTCATTGAGAACGTCTGGATGCTCAACGGCCAGCACGGTGCCCGCCTCAAGACCTGGGCCGGCCCCAACATTGGCTACGGCTTCATCGACAACGTCACCTTCCGCAACTTCTGGCAGGCAAACAACGAGTACACGGCCTTCATTGACTCGTGCTACTTCAACATCAACGCCACCACCTGCGCTGCGTACCCCTCCCAGATGAACATCAGCAACATTCTGTTTGAGAACTTCTCTGGATACTCGAGCGGCAAGTACGGCCGTGCTGTCGCTAAGCTTACTTGCTCCACCAACCCGAACGCCGTCTGCGACAACATTCAGTTCAAGAACTTCAACATCACTACCCCGTGCGGTGGTGACCCCGTCATTCTCTGCGACGGTATCAAGGGAGACATTGGGACGCCCTGCGTTTCCGCCACTAGTGATGAGGGTAAGGCTGCCCTGGCGGCCAAGTGCACAACTGCCATGGCTGTAGCCACTCCATGGGAGGTCAGGCCCTTCAAGGGTTGATTAGTGATCGGCTTACACTCGTCTCTGAATGCGAGTAGTGCCAGATGTCAGGAGTCAAGATGGTGACCAAGTCGAATAGTGACGACATAGATTCTTGTATAAAATTAAATTTTACGTATACAATTTTGACAACCTCTGTAGTTCATGCCTAGTGTTTTCTTCCGCGTTGCAAGTATGTCCATAACCCTTTTACAAAAACGCGGCAACACCGACAAGACCAGCGGCAACGGCAGCGGCTGCGATCATGCCGGTCTGACGGGTTCCAAGGTTGACGGGAACCTGCGTTGGGTTGTTACGGCCGCTTGTCGCACTGACACCGGCACCTGTACCAGCGGCAGCTCCAGTCCTTGTCTCACCGGTAGACTTGGGAAGATCGCCGCCAGCAGCCGTGGTCTTTGGTGCAGAAGAGCCAGACTCCGTAGCACCACTACCGAGTTCCGCCGTGCAGAGCGGGATCTCGGTCTCAAACTCGGAGAGAGTGGAGCAAACGGACACTGCCGACGCGATCGAGGCCGAGTTGGCGTCGACCCAGCTCAGAAGCTCCGAGGTATAGCTCGAGTACTCGGCGCTCAGCTCCGCAGGGACAGTGATGCTGCAAGGGTCGGTTTGAGGAGGAGCAGTCATCTCATAGGAGAGAATCTTGGGAGGAGGAGTGGGTGCGTTGGCGTAGACTGTGCCTAGGGCATTGAGGCATGGGTCGGCGGAGAGCTCAGTCTGACGGGGAACGACATCGCGACGGATGCGGTCCGGTCTGACGTCGAAGACGGCGGTCGCTGAACCGGCCAGGACGGTGATCAGGGCGGTCTTGGTGTACATGTTGTGGGAAGTGAGTGTGAGATCTGGTAAAGACTGTGAGTTGAGATATACAAATGAGTACCAATGAACAGGTTATGTTGTTGGAAGAACGGAATGAAGTTGATGAGGACGTCGGGTTACCGAAACTGCGGCTTTCATCTCAATAAGTATGAGAATGAATGAAGACGGATCGCATGCCCCTGGACACTACTTTGGTGTAGCTTAATTTCAAGCATGAAAATAAGGATTCCTGGCTTCAATCCGCTGCCACCGTCCACGGCCGTGCTCTCTACCTAGTGCACGCAAACGTCTAGAAAGCTCAATCATGGGGAAGACAAGCTTCATGAGAAGTGAGCTGGGTGCTGTCAAAGCGGCATGCCGATGACTGACGGCGTCATCCTGGCTTTTGAGAGGATCTTAGCCATGGCTTATGAAATGGCAACAAGCCCTTCAGCTAACCCGAACTACTAAAGGAGGATGACTTGCAGCTCATTCGAAGAAACGTTTGGCTAAAGAAGACTTGTTCAACCTGGCTCTAGTTTCGTTTCGGTGCAAGGCACTAAGATAGCCAAATCAGGGGAAATGGCGAAGCTAGTGCTAGAAGATGTTTTGCCTAGAGCTATTTTAGGTTGTTGCACACTACTCAAGAGGCCTAGATGGGAGTCCAAGAAAGGAGATCGGTAATACCCGCCTCTTGTTTCTCAGAAAGGAGGCTTACTGGCAAACAGGCTCACTGTAAGGTAGTTAGTCACAATGCTTCTCTAAATGAATCTCACTACTGTCACTTGAGGCCTAAAACGCATTCTAGACCGGTCGCAAACCTCGGAGTGCTTTACACTGGCAGGCAAGAGAAATTTAAAAGAAAAACAATGATCGAACTGTGTCTTGTTGTGCAGGTGAGTGATCCGTCACAGGAGTGTGACTTGCGAAGTTTTACAGATGGGTTGGCGAGAGCCTCTATCCTCGTTAGCCGAGTAGCTACATATTGGCGGCCCGTGAGTGTGACTCGATGCAACGAGAAGGGTCACGACTTGAGAAAAAAGGTTTCCACGCCACCATATTCAAGCAATGTTCCAGCCTGACGCCAACTGCTTCTCGGTAATTAAAGCTTTCCCAGAATGCCAACGACCTGGCAGTCCTCGGGTCCCCGTGGCATTCCTCGCGAGTCCTTCAATCTTGCCCGTGCGCGCGTGGACTGAAGCTAGATGAGGATATTTCCGAATGGCATTGCAAACTTCTGGGGAGCATATCAAGCGATAGTATAACGTGAAGGTTGAATGAAATTCAGTGTAGTCTGTCTTCGTATGTCTATTATTGCCCCTGTCTTGACCACGAACTCGAAAGGAAAACTTATTCCTGGAGTCCAACGACGCCGACCTTGAGGTAGTGATCGTTGTTCTGGATCTTCTCCCCAATCACGCCGCTCTTGAGCTCATCAATATCCCACTTGGCCCAGACAAAGCGGCCATGCAAGAAGCGCGCCTCCTCAGATGCGGCCCAGACGGCGAAATTTCCAGCCAAGTCAACTATGAGCCAGACATGATTAGCAGGTGCACACCACTTTCTTTGATCTCGGACTACACATACCATGATCAAACGGATAGATGTCCTCGGGAATCCCAGCGTTCTTGAAAGCCGAGGTATGCACCACACCCGGGTGGAAGTTGAGAACCTGCATCTTCTCGGGAGGGGTGTCCTTGGCAATCATCTGGATCAGCATCGTTCCTGCGTTCTTGCTCGCGCTGTAAGCAGGCCAAGGGCCCGATTTGGTAAAGTTGTGACTAGCTTCCGTAGATACGTTGACGAGGAACTGTAGCCATCCTGTCAGTTCTGACTTCCGTCACGCACTGTATTGAGCTTGCATACCTTCTGGCGACCTTCGCCATTCTTCTGCTTGTAGAACTTCTCAGAG